CGCTCACTTCTTCCTGCAGTGGGCGGCGGTGAGCAGCCACTGCGGGGCCACCAGCGCCGCCCCGCAGTAGAGCTGGTTGGGCTTCAGCAGGAGCGCCCCCTGCCACGGCTGGGCGTGCGGGTCGCAGTCGGTCCCGTTGACGATGCGGCTGCTGCTGTCGTTCTCGCGGGTGTCCCCTCTGGCCCCGCTCCCGAGGTCCTGGGCGCCCCCAGAGGCCCCGAAGCCAGGGGCGGTGTTGCAGGAAGTATCATTTGCAAGAACGGGCTCTAGGGGCACAGAACGGGCGGGAAGGGGCTCGGGGGCGGAGCTCGGACTCGGGGGCTGGGCCCCAGGCCGGCCCGACGGCCTCGCGTTTCTGAGGGGCGCTTAGGTGGAGGGGGCGGGGCCGCGGCTCCAGAGGTGGAGCTGGGAGGCTCGGAACCGACGGGGGGAGCGAGACTTAGGGTTCAGGGCAGCGCCCAGGCCCAGGGGGTGAGCCTGGACTCCGACTGGGTCTCAGGATCCCTAGGAGTGGTTAGAGCTTAGTGGGTGGGTTCCGAGAGGGTAAAACTGAACAGCCTCAGGGGTGGAGCCTGGGGATAGGCCGGAGAACAGGGCTTTACAGGTAGGACCAGGTTTGGGAGAAGCGCGGCCTGGGCTCAGTGAATGGGGTCAGGGCTGGAGGCCACAGGGCCTGGCTGTGGGAGGAACTGGGAACGGGCTTGGGTAGGGCCGCGCCAGGGTCACGTTGGGAGCCTTCCTATAAACAGCCCTGAATCGGGGAGCGGAGGTGGAGCTGGGTTCTAGGAATTGGGGATGAGGGAGGTGAAGCCTGGCAGAAAGGGGGGGAGTCACAGAGTCTGACTGGGGTGGGCACCACCCAAGGGCGCCTTAATGGAGATGTAGGCTGCACCCAGGGGTGGTTGATGGTCAGAGTGCATGTGAGGGCGCAGACCCAGGAAGTGAGCTGAGCTTGGGGGGCCGTGGAGGGGAGAGCACAGCTGGTTTTCAAACACAAGGGTGCCTCCTGAATGCTTCTCCCACGCGCAAACCTACAGACACATACCCGGCTCCATCACCAGCGCCCCCTCCCCACAGGCCACGTGTTCATGCTCTTGCTGGTGACCCAGAGAAGTCTGTGCACACACTCCAAGAAACACGCACACGTAGCTGCCACGGACGAGCACACACGCAGGTACATGGGGACTCGCGTCGGCTCCCCAGGGGCGGCCGCACGCAGCTGTCTCCTGGCACACACACTTCCCGGGTACACACACTCGGGGGAGGCCTGGCCTGATCCCACACCCACACAGTGTCTCAGTGACACGCCTGTGTGCCTTGCATGCACACATGTGCAGATTGCCACCTACCCTGTGCACACATGCGTGCTGGCTCCGGGACAAGACTACACTCAGTGGCCCCAGCATGGCCCCCCGGTCCCCCATCACACCACTGCCTCAGAGGACAGCCACCTCTGCACACTCAACCTGTGGAGGCAGGGAGGGCGACTCCGCACACCCCGCACATCAGGCCCCGCACAAGCACAGTCACATTCAACCACCTGGACAAAGGGCCTCAAGCAGTCAAACGGTCCTACGCGGAGCCACACAAAGTCCTGCGCCCAGGCACAATCACACAGCCACAGAAACGGACAGGGACCCGGCTCCGTTCCCCCAGCCCTGGCGCCAGCCGCATGCTGCCCCCTGGCACAGGCGCGCCAGCGCCACGCAGAGTCACCCACAACTTCAGGCTCCGGTGGCGGCCATGCGCGCACCCGGGGCCGCTTACCTGTCACCCGCAGAATCAGAGCGGTGACCAGCGCACCGACCATCCACGTCCAGGGGGGTCCTGTCGTAGCCATGGCCGCTGCACCTGGCAGGGGAAGACAAAGAGTGGGGAGGCCCGATGGTTATGGGAACTCGTGCCCCCCACCCCCGGTTTCCCAGGGCACAGAGGGACCACGAGGACAGTGCCCAACGGGGGGCTCGGGGAACCGACCACCGTCCCGTCGGGGCGCGGGGGACGGAGAGAGAGCTGCGTCCCCGACGGAGCCGCGCGCCGAGGCCCCGCTCCCTCCCGCCCCTCCCCGGGCCTCACCTGCCCGCGTCCCCCAGGTGGGGGTGGGAAGCCCGCTCCCGGCGCCGCC